TATCGGGGTAGATTTATTAGCGTGGGGAACAAAAAGAGTTGAAAGAGAGGCAACTTTGCCCCAAGGCCTTATTTTCGGAGGATGTCTTATTTTCGGGGAAACAGGGTATTTGCTCCATGCTTGAACAGCGCCCCCTGTTGGACACACGCAGGATGTGCCCCTGCAGGGAACTGCCAGAGCACCTGGCTCAGAGGGGATTTATGGGTCTATACGGCCTGATGGGATTATGGGGGAGGGGGATTTGTTGCCCTGGGAGCCTCTCAGCCTGCAGTTGGGGCGGGGGAAGAGGTGGCAGAGCCGGAGGTGTCTCCATCTGCTCCCGGGAGAGGGGCTAGGAGAGGCAGCCTAGAGGCCAGGGTGAGGGGTGCGTAGGGATGCTTGAGATGCTGGGCTGGGAATTGGGAGGGGGGAGGGTTAAATCCATCCCCCCACACGCACCCGCTGCAGCCCCTAATTGTTCTTCCCCCCTCCCAGCAACTTCTCCAACTACCGTGCCCGATTCAGCATGCCCGGTGACACGGAGGGGCTGTGGTACAGGTGAGCACCCCCCCTGGCCCCCAGGGGGCAGCGTTCCAGCCCCAGGCGCCCGACTCTGGCGGAGGTGCAGGGGGATAAGAACACTAGGGGCAGGACTCTCGGGGCCTGGCTGTGCTTGGTTAGAGTGTGTGTGTGTGGTTCGGGGGGGGGGGTTGGTTGGGTGTTCTATTCCCAGCACTGGAAGGGGAGTGGAGTGGAGTGGTTAGAGCAGGGGGGCTGGAAGCCAGGACTCCTGGGTTCTATCCCCAGCACTGGTTGGGGAGTGGAGTGGTTAGAGCAGGGGGGCTGGAAGCCAGGACTCCTGGGTTCTATGCCCAGCCCTGGGAGGGGAGCAGGGAGGACTGGGAGCCGGGTTCTATTGCTGCTACTGACTCCCTGTGTGTGTTGAGGGGCATGCTGCTTCCCCCATCGCGTGCCTCAGTTTCCCCCCAGCATAGCACAGGGCTCATCCTTTGCCCTCCCTCCCTTGTCACCGTATGATTCTGCTTCTCTGCCCCCCAGCTGGGACGTCGGCCCTGCCCACATCATCTCCTTCTCCACCGAGGTGTATTTCTACCTGAACTATGGCCGTCACCTTGTCCAGGAGCAGTACCAATGGCTAGAGAGAGACCTACAGGTAGACCTACCCCCCCAGCCCCTAGCCCTCCTGGCTGCCCGCCCGCCCAGACTGTCTCTCTCACAGACTCTCTCTCTCCCCCTTGGCGGCAGAAGGCCACGCGGCCGGATCGGCGCCGGCGCCACCCGTGGATCATCACCATGGGGCACCGGCCCATGTACTGCTCCAACAACGACCTCGACGACTGCACGGAGCACGAGAGCATCGTGAGTGGGGCGGAGGGGGGGGCGCTGCAGAGGAGGGAGGAGGAGGCTCTTGCACCCAGCGGGCAGGGGAAGGCGCGCGGGGAGCCGAGTGGGGACCGGCAGACTGATCCAGGGAGGCCGTTCCACGTGGCGGGGAGGGGGGACCTCGCTGGAGGGCCTTAGAGAGAGAATGTGGGGTAACCCGCCAGGGCCCCCTCCAGCTGCTGACCCCCCCCCGCTGTCTTTCCCCTCAGGTTCGCCGAGGGCTCCCCCAACATCTGTACGGCCTGGAGGACCTGTTCTATAAATACGGTACCCGCTGCCCATCCCTCCAGCCTCCTCCGGCGGCGCCCCCTAGGGTGAACCTGGGAAGCTCCCCCTGCAGGACATATGCTGGGGCTGTCAGCTGGAGCCCCAGGGCAACAGGAGGAGGGGAGGGGTGACACCAAGGCGCTTTGGGGGCTGATGGCGACCAGGACGGGCTTCTGTCACCCCCTGAGTGTCTCTGTGTCCGGCAGCCCTGGCCCAGAGCCCTGCCCCCAGCAGCCGTGGGGATGAGCCAGCCTGGGTACTGATGCAGGGAGACCCCAACGGCCCAGTCCCTCTCCCCGGACACTCCCGGACGGCAGCGACGGAGCCCACACCCCAGGGACTTCGGCCCCCCGGCACCTTTCTCAGCTCTGGCCCCGGGTGACGGACGCCCCAAAGGACTTTTCTGCTTCGATCTCCCACCGTCTACTGTCTCTGTTTCCAGCGCCGCAAAGGATTCCTGGGGGCGCAGGCTCCGTCCCCCGCCCGGCTGGTTAAGCGGCCTGCCCCCCTTCCCACCCGCTCGTTTAGCTGGATGGCTTTGGTTACTTTTTTCATTGCCCTCCGAGGTCTGGCCTGGCTCAGTTTACCCCGCAGGCCCAGGAAAGCGGGCGGCCCAGCGTTACTTTCTCTAGGGCCGGCTGGGTTTAGGTACTGACTCGCGTAACTCCTTTTCACGCCTGTTCCCGGTCCACCTCGCTCATTCTTTCTACGCTGCCCGTACAAGGCCCAGCGGGTCCCGGTTGGTATATGATTCCTGTCACGTGTCCTCGTAGAGAGACCGATTCTGACAGCGGCATGTTGGGGCAATGAGTGTTTCTTTGCCCATCTTCTGCCCGGACTCTCCTGCGATTCACCTGGGGACTGGGTTGAGCCCCACACCCAATCTCTTAAAGGGCCGGCTCGCCCGGCGACAGGGCCCCAGGGCAGAGCACGCCTTGGCCCCCAATCCAGGCATGGGTCTAAGATCCAGTGGTCAGAGTCCTGAGCCGGTGCTGTGCTCTCTTCACCAGGTGTCGATCTAGAGCTGTGGGCCCATGAACACTCCTACGAGAGGCTGTGGCCTGTCTACAACTATCAGGTGACTCCTGAGCGGGGGGGTTTGGGGGTCCTCCGGGGTCGCTGTCCGGCCTGGTTGGGGGATTAAGTCCGAGATCTGAGTCTGAAACGACCCCGTCTGCTTCCCCCCACTGCAGGTCTACAACGGCAGCGCCAAATCGCCCTACACCAACCCCCGGGCGCCCGTCCACATCATCACCGGATCGGCCGTAAGTGACAGCTGGGGCCCGAGCCTGGTAGCGCACCCAGCACCACCCGCCCATGCCAGCCTCTGCTCGCCTTGAGAGTCAATGGTGACGCCTACCGCTGACCGCCACGGGGCCGGGTGTCTCTGCCCGCGGTTTAAGGGCCTGATCCTGTTAAGTGCCAGACACCTCCCAAGTGGTGCTGAATGTCCTCGGATCCCATTGAAATTCAGTGCGGGCGCTTCCAGGATTGGGGCTTAATTTAGAGGCCTGTTGCGGGGGGTTAGTTTAAGGGCAAGAGTATACCTATCTGTCTCATAGAACTGGAAGGGACCTTGAAAGGTCATCAAGTCCAGCCCCCTGCCTTCACTAGCAGGACCAAGTACTGATTTTTGCCCCAGATCCCTAAGTGGTCCTCTCAAGGATTGAACTCACAACCCTGGGTTTAGCAGGCCAATGCTCAAACCACTGAGCTATCCCTCCAGCAGAGTTGGGCCTGATCCTGTCCTAAGACAGTCCTGCTGTATGGGGGTGGGGCAGGATTGGGCCGCATGGATGGATGGAGGAGTGGGGAGGGGGCGGTGAGTGTAAGAGGCTCCATGAGAAGATGGAGGGATCGGGGGAGGAGACGTGAAGCTGGGAGCAGGCTGAGAAGCGGGAAACTGAGGCACGGGCAAGGCAGCGATTTGCCCAAGGGCACCGGGGTCACCATCCAATGCTCTATCTGCTAGGCCGCGCTGCCTTGAAAGGGGTAGGGGGTGGAGGGATTGACGTGTAGTGGAGGTGGGGCTGAGGCAGCGGGAGGAGGAGTTGAGCTGGGAAGGAAGCTAAGAAGTAGCCCCTCCCCCCCACATGGTCATGCAATGGGCTCTGCCCCCCTGCCCCCGCAGGGCTGTAAGGAGAGGCTGGACCCCTTTGTCCCCAACCCACGGGAGTGGAGCGCCCTGCGCATCGAGGACTACGGCTACACGCGCCTGCAAATCCTCAACCGCAGCCACATCTGGCTGGAGCAAGTGTCCGACGACCAGGTATGGCACGGCTGGCGGATGGACCCCCCAACGCCCACCCTGTCCTGCCCGGTCCGATCCCGGCCTGGGCAGGCTCCATGTGCGTTGCACTGTGCAGTGGACCCATTGCAGGGGTATTTGGGCACTGAACATTAACCACTAGACCCCACTCCCCTCCCAGAGTCCCAGATAGAACCCAGGCGTCCTGACTCCCAGCCCCCCTGCTCTAACCACTAGACCCCACTCCCCTCCCAGAGTCCTGGATAGAACCCAGGCGTCCTGACTCCCAGCCCCCCCTGCTCTAACCACTAGACTCCACTCCCCTCCCAGAGCCAGGGATAGAACCCAGGCGTCCTGACTCCCAGCCCCCCTGCTCTAACCACTAGACCCCACTCCCCTCCCAGAGTCCTGGATAGAACCCAGGCGTCCTGACTCCCATCCCCCCTGCTCTAACCACTGGAGCCCACTCCCCTCCCAGAGTCCTGGATAGAACCCAGGCGTCCTGACTCCCAGCCCCTCCTGCTCTAACTGCTAGACCCCACTCCCCTTCCAGAACCAAGGATAGAACCCAGAAGCCCTGACTCCCAGCACCCCTCTGCTCTAACCATTAGACATCACTTCCCTCCCACAACTGGGGAGAGGACCCAGGAGTCCTGATTCCCAGCCCCCCACCCCCAGCTCTACCCACTCGCCCCCCCCCCCCCGATTGCTCCCACCTGCGCCCAGCTATCTGCACACACATGTCCAGCGTCACCACCTGGACAGCTCCCGCCATAGCAACCTCTCCCTGAATCTTAGTGGCACCCACAGGGTGTCACCACGAGGCAGTAGCAGAGAAGGGAAACCCTGGGGGTAAAGCAGCCCTGAACTCTCCTCCAGCCTAGGGTGGGAAAAGTCTGGAGCTGGGCAGCTCTGGAGAAAGGCACGGGAAGCATTTGGGCTTGTCCAGCTCCAAGCGGCTATAGGGGGAAAGCAGGGAGGAGAGTGGGGTCTAGTGAGTAGAGCGGGGAGGGGGGCTGGGAGTAGGTGCCGAAGGCTGTTGGGAATCTGGCTCCTATGTGGTGGGAGCTGGGTGGGAAGCCGGGCAGATCCCTTCTGTTTTGGTGGGTTCACACTGGAAACACACCTGAGCCATGGAATCCGGATTGGAACCTCCCAGAGTTCTCCCCACCTCTCTCTAGAGCAGCCTCACCTTGAGTTCAAACCCTCAGGGTCTTGATTTCCAGCCTTCCCTGCTCTAAGTGCTAGACCCCACTCCCCTCCCGGCGTTAGGAGTAAATCCAAATCCGTGTAGCTGCGGTTTGCTAAACGTGGATGTTTCCTTCGTTAGAAATGTGATCAGCAACTTCATTTGAATCCTTAATCGGTGCTTCAGATCAAGGGGGGGTGGGTGGGAAGGGTTTGGTGAAATCCAGAATGTGGGAGGGGAAATAGCTGTAGAGATCTGGGGGGATGAGGCACATCTTCATGCCCCTGGGGATAGACTGCAATCCCACCTCTGCCACCAGTGTGAACTTTCCCCTTTGTGGTCCCAATCCATCCCTCCCGTCCCCATTCCCGACACGTTGCCATAGACCCGCCCTGGGTTCTGAGGCTCCCCATGAAGCTCATCTGAGTTCTGAGCAGTAGGGGAACGTCCCCTGGAGCCACCCCTGAACCCGAGTCCTGGTTTTGTCTTTCAGGACGGGAAAGTCGTGGATGGGATCTGGCTCATCAAGGAGTTGCACGGCCCCAAAGCTTGGCATTAGCCTGGCAGGAGGCCCCAGCCCTGAGTTGAGCAGAGGGACTGCGTCCCCAGGACCCCCTGAAATCCTCGTTATGTGGCTGGAGGCAGAGCTCCCTGCGGGGCTACAAACGAATCTGATCAAATCCAAAGGCCGCTCTGGCAGGGCCTGATGTATGGCACTGGAAGGACACACCTGCCCCTGGAGCTGGGTCTTTATGACGGTGAACAAGCGCTTTGCTGCAACTGAGCGTATTAGGTCTCAGAGCACTTTCTACGGGTGGGGTTGTGTCTGTGTATTCCCAGTTTATAGACGGGGAAACTGAGGCACAGAGCAAGGAAGAACCTTGACCAAAATCATAGATGTAGGGTGTCTTGCTTTCCATTTGTCCCTGCCCTAATCACTAGATCCCATTCCCTTCTCAGAGTCAGGAATAGAACCCAGGAGTCCTGATTTCCAGCCCCCCGCTCTAACCACTACAGCCTACTCCCCTCGGCAGGAACAGAACCCAGGAATCCTGATTCCCAGCCCCCCTGTTCTAACCACTAGGTCTACCCCTCACCTCTATGATGTCAGGAATAGAACCCAGGCATCCTGACTCCCAGTCCTTTGTTCAAGCCACTGGCCCATTCTGCCTCTTACAAAAAAACCCCCATAGAGTTAAAATGTTCTCCAGAGTCTGCCTGAGGCATCTCCACCTCTCGAATCTTTCTAGCCCTCAGACTGTGTGTGGGGGAAGGGGTGCCGGGAGCTGATGGTTTTCTTTCCTTATTTGCTCTTTCCTCCATGAGCTGAAGCTAGGACCAGGCCTTCTCCCCTGCTGCTGGTCCCTGTAATGCAATAAGCCCCACACGGAGCTGCCAGGCGGCGAGGGATGGGGCTAGATTTGCCTTTCGCCATCAAGCGCGGCCCACGGTACATCTCTGAGGTTCGCTGTACGATCCTTCATGCTTCGAGCTACGCGCTGGGTCTTTTGTATTGATGCTCTGGAAATGAACGACACAAAATCAAGCTCAAAAGGTTTGCGATGCCCATCTCCTTCAGACGCCGTTTGATTTGCCTTGGGTGCCTTGACTGGTTTAGGGCCAGATTCTTCTCCGGTGGAAATCAGGAGGTGCCCCCTCCAAATCCTTGAGTCACAGAGAGGAGACTTCGGCTCTGTCACCGGCCCCTTTAAGGGGAGGCGGGCTCAGCCCCACCTGGGACTGATCAGCTGTCTCCTACCTGGGGGGTAGAGGTCAGGGGATGGCCTGAGGAGCATCTGGCCAGCAAGGGCTCAGGTGAGGGGACGGATGGCAGGCAGGCAGTCCGGATTTATGGTGTCTCCCAGATAGGTGGCTGGCACAGGGAGAATTTCCGGGAGTCTCTGGGTCCATGCGCTGGCTGCGAGGGGTGTGTGTGTGTGTGTGTGGTGGGGGGGGGTGTCTAAGTTTTCTGATTACCGATACACAGTGCCCTGCGTCAAGGGCGTGAGATAGACGCTGCTGCAGCATCTCTCCTTCGTGGGCCGGTGAGAGAGCCCGCTGGCTCCCAGGTTCCTCCTAGATCGTTGCCATAGTCGGGGATGGGCCAATGCTAGGCCAGATTTCTGCTGCCCTTTGCGGAGAGCCGTGGGGAGAGTTCATTCTTTCCCCCACGCTGACATAGGCAGCCGTGAGGTACTGCCCGTCTCGCTGACCAAGACTGTCTCCCTGCACTCCCACATCGGTCCCACCTCTTCTCCTTGTCAGCCGTTTTGGAGCAGGGGCCGTGTTTTTGTTCTGTGTTTGTACAGCTCCTAGCGCGATGGACTCCGTGACTGGGGCTCCTCCGTGCTAAGGCAGCTCAGAACCCGGAGGACGAAGGAGCTCAGTTTCCTGTCTGGGCTTTGATAGTCACTAGCTTGCGTTAACTGTTTTAAGCTATTGGCTTAAAGACGGGGACTTCTCACCTTGGAGATAAATAAGAGGGAACATAGTAAAAATGGGGAAAAAAACAGTGGGTGCTCAGCACCCACCAGTCACAGCTGTTTGGCGGCACCCCCGATTAGCTGGGGGTGGGGCTTGAGGGAGGGCAGAGAGCAGCAAGTGGGTGGGGGTCTCGGGGAAGGGGCGGAACGGTGGTGGGAAGAGGGGGGGTGAGGATGGGGCTTTGGGGGAGAGGGGTTGATTGGGAGCTGGAAGTGGCGGAGTGAGGGTAGGGCCTCGGAGGAGGGGTGGAGTGGGGGCAGGGCCTTGGGACAGAGCGGGGGTGCAGTACCCCCGGGGAAAAGAAAACCTCAGCTCCTGTGCCTTTGTCACCTGTTAGCCGGTGGAACTCACTGTCACATGATCTCCTGTAGGCCAAGAGTTTATCAGGATTCAAAGAGCGAGCGGGCACTGAGAACCCAGCTCAGCGGCGTTAGCCAAGTAGTTAATGCTACAGTTTAAAAAAGATCCCTAGGTAGGCGCTAGTTCAAATAGAAATGAATTCAGGGAAGTCTGATTGCCTGGGTTATGCAAGAGGTTAGACTGGCCCCTTCTGGTTCATCATCTCTGAATGAGGCAGCTGAGTACAGAATGGCTCCAACATCAAATAAAGTAGAGGGGAGGGTTGTATGGCTGTATGTATACCTGGGCCGAATAAAAGCAAATTCATTACTGCACGGTCTTCACAATACCAGGGCTTGGTTTGCCCGTATCTTGTAGAGAGATGGGGGAGGGATAGCTCAGTGGTTTGAGCATTGGCCTGCTAAACCCAGGGTTGTGAGTTCAATCCTTGAGGGGGCCATTTAGGGAACTGGGGTAAAAATCTGTCTGGGGATTGGTCCTGCTTTGAGCAGGGGGTTGGACTAGATACCTCCTGAGGTCCCTTCCAACCCTGGTATTCTATGATTCTACGAACACTTTGCTTAGGTAGTACAAGACAGGCACCTTCCTAGCTAAGGCCCCTGAAACTCTTTAGGCTGCCGGTTTACACAGAGAGTTGAGTACAAGAGCAGGGCTTCAATTTTGCCTGTCCATGGGGTCGTTTGAGTTCGTTAGCACCGTTCTGTATGGGGCCCTGATGAACAGCACTTTCACCAGCACTAACGCCAGCTATGGATAGGTTCTCCACATGGGGGCGGAATGTCTCTGCTGCTGAGCGTCTCAGAGCGACCTTACCGAGCCCAGGAAATTCATCTGCCAAAGCCCCAGGACTTTGAAATCCGGCTGGCAGCGAAGGCGCAAAGGTTGGCAGAGAATTGGCAATGACCCACGCACACCTAGGAGAGATGCCTGGGCAGCGTGCCCCAGGCAGGGGACGTTAGGATGGGGCTCTCGGGATTTTATTCATCAGCCATCTATTGCTGGAGGGTTTTCTTGCTAAACGCAGCTGTGCAATATGTCCAGTGGGGCGTGTGTGTGTGTGTGGGGGGGTGGATGATCCCCATAATAACTAGTATCTGGGGATAGCCGTGTTAGTCTGTATCCACAAAAACAACAAGGAGTCCGGTGGCACCTTAAAGACTAACAGATTTATTTGGGCATAAGCTTTGGTGGGTAAAAAACCCACTTCTTCAGATACACTGACTAGTGCATAACGAGTCAGTGCATAATAATAATATAATTAATAACTAGTGTTACTTACACAGCTCTTTATATCCTGTCATCTCAAAGCACTTGCCAGTGGTGGGTCTAATTTATCACCCTCCCTCCCCCCCAGAAAACCCCACTCCAATTTTGCAGATGGGGGAAATTGAGGCACAGAGAGGGGAATTGATCTGCCACAAGTCAGCAGCGGAGATGGGTATGGAATCCAGGCATCCTGCCTTGCCACACCCCCTCCCCATTCTTCTAATCATTCTGACTTGTAAACCCCTTTCTAACCACCAGACCCCACTCCCTCCTCGAGAGAACAGAACCCAGGAATTCGGATCCCCAGTCCTCCCCTGCCCTAAGAGCTAGGCCCTACTCCTCTCGCAGAGCTGGGCATAGAACCCAGGAGTCCTGGCTCGCCCCCCTACCCCCCTCGCTCTAACCACTGCCCATTTTGCAGTTCATTTGTAGTCCTGGCAATGCTTCAAGGCTGGGGAATGCGCCGTGGAAATCCACAACTGATCGATTGACCTTTCAAGGGTAAAAAGAAATCAAAAAACACCAAATACCAGACTGACTCCGAACTACTGACATTCCGTAACCTGATCTCCGCACAGATTTCATGACCACATCACTAGAGCAGTTGGGGGTGTGGGGGTGTATACCCTATATAGTTCTACCAATCCAGCCCCTCGTGTAGACACTATTATACCGGTGCCTTATACCGGTCTAGCTTCTTTCCCTTCCTGTACAGGGTTCGCTGTAAAGCACCTTTATCCTGGTAGAACTGCATTCACCCCAGGGGGTTGTACTACTTTGACTAGACTGGTATAAGGCACCTATATCATTTGATTATTTATTTGTATTATGGGACCCTCTAGGCGCCCCAATTGTGACCCAGGACCCTGTTGTGCTAAGTTGCCTGGATGCCCATACAGCCCCATCTTCTCTGTCTCTGCTAGACAGAGTCCCTCCAGGACCCAGGCCGCCCAGTACCTGCTCTGTGATTAAGCAGGGGCTGTCGCTCGTCAGGGCTGTCAGACTGGCACTGAATTAACGCCAGTGACAAGCCGATGACTATTATTAGCTGCCATGTGGGTGGCTCATTCTTTGCCTTGCACTGTCAAAGTGCTTAATATAGCAAGTCGGTGAGGGCTGATTGCTGGCAGGAACTGCTGCTGGGAATGGCTGGGTTCTCAGGGGCAGTGCCGGCTGCGTTGATCCTAAATACAGCCCAGGTGGCCATGCCCTTTGGATCGTGACTTTACCTGTGCCCAATCAGCCTCATGACCCACCTGGGAGCTAGGTATTCTCCCCACAGTTTACAGAAGGGGAAACTGAGGCACAGGCAGGTGAAATGACTTGACCAAGGCCACACATGCAGACTCCCAGTTCCCTCCTTTAATCTCTAGACTGCAGGACACCTGGGTTCTATGTGTGCCACTGGGAAGGAGTTTTGTCTACTGACTGGAGAAGGGGGGTGACTGGGATTCAGGACTCCTGGTCAAATACCATGAGAACACCACAAGGGTTTGCAGCCCCGGGGTCTCACCTCTCACCTCCTGACGACGCCTCATGGTGCAATGATGGGACCGAGCGATGCTGGGGCCTGGACTCATGTCGTTTTGCGGCATGATGTCACATTTCAGCCGGAGCAAGTGACTTCAGGCCCCCAGGGGATGCTGTCGTATCATGCCACGATGTCCCATTTGCAAGACGATGTTAGGGGGGGATCAAATGACCTCAGCAAAAGCATCATAGCGCGTCGTGATGACAACCCCCTGTGGCCGGATGACGTCATGCCTTTTGGTGATGACATCAAAGCACAACATGATGACCCCCTGTCTTGCTCTGAGGACATGATTAGGGTGCCATGGCAACATCACATGCTCAAAATGGTGGCACTGCTGTCCCAAGATGACCCCTCCGCCCCCCCCCCCGTGGCAGTCTGGGAAAGGTCAATAGGAGCCACCCCCCACGCCTCCATGCCCTAATATCCTCTTCCCGGGCTTTGAACCCACACTCCACAGAAAGGGGCGTCGTCCCCTTTAAGAGAAGGCACGCCTCCTTTCCTCCTCCCATCAATCAGCCTTTCCTTCAGCCAATCAGAACGCACAACGCCGCGAGCACTCTCTTCCTCCCTCCCCCGAGTGGGCAGTGCCCGCAGAGCGGCGTCGGTTCCGGCCAATCAGAGGTGGAGACTGGGAGGTGGGGGCGGGATTGCCTCCTCCCCCCCCTCAGGAGGCGGTCCCTGTTGCCGGGGGAACGGGGCAGAGCAGAGGAAGGAGGGGGGTGTCCCCGGATGTTGGCTGGTTCCTAATATGGTGGCTGCGGCGGCGGAGTGACCAGGAGCCGGGGGGAGACAGCGCGAGAGCCCCCGAGCAGGTGCGGGGGAGGGAATGGGGGGGGGGGTTGAGATGGGGCACAGTTGGGGGAGGGGGCATGTGAGGGAGGGGGTGAGAGAGGAGGGGGAGCTGAGGGGG